TTTGTAATCAGATACTAATTAGCATATGCCATGTGGAGATTTCGGCCTACTAAATTTTGACCATGCTGGAATCCCATCACAGTGTGATGGCACTGCCAGAAGCACATGTCTTCCTACACACCTAGTGGTGCCTCCAAAGCATTGCACTAAATATGCTTTCTTTATGATGTAAAGTCATTAATTAATAAATACCATTATAGTCACTCTATGGGATCAGTAAACCAGGCTTAAGAAAGGGTCAGATATGCACTAACCTAACAAGACATAACACCAAAGATACACTAAATAGATTGTTTATTTTGCTGTTTATACATATGTTTCTCATGCTTTATGTTATACTGTCACAATTCATACTGATGTTATTGTTATTGCTGTCAGGGTTACAACCCCCCACGACATGCTAAAAACCTGTCCGCTAAACTTCCAGTAAGCACCCAACCCTACCGACAGAGCCCCCTAACACTTCAAAAGACCCATACCCACCACAACCATAAATGAGCAGTACAGGAATCCGTCAGTGGCATCACCCACACAAACCCACACTCACCCCTGGGCATACCCCCGCAACCCCATCACCTCGACTGACATACTCTCATGGCCTGTCAACACTGGGACAATCTCCTGCCCCCTCAAGCAACCACTTGCCCCCCTGGCCCACGACTCATATCTCTCCACCTGCCCCGGCAGAAACATGCTCCCCAACCACTGTGCGCTGCTCGATGCTCACTATCTACCTACCACCCTGGGATGACAGCATCCTGACGCAGATGACCCCAATCTGAACACCCCACCTGTCCAAACCCTATCAAGTCCCTTGAGTCAGGGTAGTAGCCCATGTAATTACCTGACCAATGCTACTCTCACCATACCTCACACACAAACGCTCGAGCAGCACCAAGATAGCATAGTAATCTCCTACCACCCTGCACAGCTTGCAGCCCTGTTACGGTTTCCTCCAGGCTGGCTAGAAGTTGGACCTTAGAAAGGATGCTCCTAGCGCTCACCAAAGGACCATCAGCACTGTAAACACTATAAGCACTGCAGACTCCACGAACTGCCGCTGCTGGGCTAGGATCTCGCCGTCTGCTATCCACCCTGGACCTACGACCAGGCTCCAGGTTCCAGTAGGTGAACCTCTTCCTTCTGTAGAGCGAAGCAGAATCAGGAACAAGAGCTCTTACAAGAGCTCAGTAGCTAAGGGAGTATGAAGAGCATAGCAATCCCTGTAGTGATTATAGCTGTCCCCTGCAAACATGAGTCAAGGCTGCAAGTTAGAGGGTCAAGTCATTCTGTTTATTTGGCACCAAATGACCTTCTTTTATGCAGGTTTTCCTTACATAAGACCACCCACAGGGTTTTACAGAACAACCAATAACACACGTACATTACAGAAAACACTCTCAGCAATTACACACAAAATCCTCCCCTTTGCCTGTGATATAATTATGGTACACAATGGTTAACACAATTATCACAGGCAGGAAAAAATACAGTTTTTATACATACACTGTAACTTTAAAAATAGACATCCAATCTTCATAAAATCAGCACACTTTAAACATAAACACTCTCAAAAATCAGACAAATCCATCCAGTAGATAAAAAGTTAGACGGGAGTCCTTTATGACCGACCGCAATTTGTCATTTAAAGGGCCAGTTACAAAGGGCAGTTTGTAGCATATCTTCCCTTTTGGAGGATAGTGCCTAAGTTAGTCTCGCAGCCCACCCACAAATAAACATTAGTAGCAAAGTAGCCCCCCCACAATAAATAGTACTGGCCTGTAGGTTCCAGGTTGTAGGATGAAAATGCAGCATCTTCGGCCTTCCTGGTACAGCTGAGCAAATAGCTAGTGGTACTTGGGGGGCAGAGGCCAGCGGCGCCCTGCCCTGATGCCAGCGCTTCTGCTGGGGTGAGGGCCCTTGTTACAGGACTGGCCTGAAACCCCCTCACCCCAGCAGAAGCGCTGGCATCAGGGCAGGGTGCTGCTGGCCTCTGCCCCCCAACTACCACTAGCTATTTGCCTAGCTGTACCAGGAAGGCTGAGGATGCTGCATTTTCATCCTACAACCTGGAACCTACAGGCCAGTACTATTTATTGTGGGGGGGCTACTTTGCTACTAATGTTTATCACTCTGACCCATCTCCACCTGCCTGCTGGGGGTCCAGCCGATGAGGTCCGCTTGCTCGGGTACCTCTGGTTGCTGTTGGGGAAGGAGACTGGTTGTCTCTTCCCTCTGCACGGTGCACTGCCTCTGGGGAGGGAGGTCGCTGCTCTCCTCTCCCTGTAACTCAGGCTGCCGCTGGGGAGGGAGGTTGATGCTCTCCACTCCCTGTAACTCACTCTGTCGCTGAAGACGTGGTGTCCATACCCCCAAACTCCACAGTTGGTACTCAAAGTCCCATGCTGCTTGGTTCTCAGCACTCAACTGGCGCATCACTTGATGGACCACCTCATTTGAAGGGTTTGGGCCATACCAGACCAGCAGCTCCTTTACTACCTTCATGAAATCAGCGCCCTCATAGCGCTGTGTCAGGCGGATTTGCAATTCACTGGCTCCTGTCCAGGGTCTTGCTAGCTCCATGTTGCTATGGGTAGGGACGCTGCGCAGAGGCTAGCCTTGCCCTCAGTAATCTCTCATACGATACCAGTGCTGTTAAGGTGCTGCTCCTTGCGCTAGGACGCCATCCCACCGCTGGCACCACAGAGACTGTGTAACTGGCCCTTTAAATGACAAATTGCACTGCTTCCCTGGGTTGTAGAGAAGCCTATTTGCCAGCCTCCTTCCTCATGACTATGGCCCCTGGGAGATTGTGCCCCTGAAAACTAATGGACTTTTATTGGGTGTGTATGGCCCTTTAAGAACCGTCTGGGGACATATTGTGACTTTGGTGAACAATGCCCCTTTAAGACTATGTCCCCAGACCTGTAAAATAACTTGTTCCTGGCTTTCTCCCACTTGGTTCAGTAAATGGGGCTTACTGAACCAAGTACCACACAGCAGTATGTGTAGCCAAATCCATGGAACTGAAATCGGCTACACATTTTCACAAACATCGCTGACCCTTACCTTCTCCTACACTCAGTTTTCAGCTTCAGAGACTAAGTCCTGTTCGGCAGTTTGAACTCACTGCTATACTAAGCCAAATGCACGAACGGCCTCGTTTGTGCATTCGAATGGGACTTAGTCATTTTTCTGTGTAAAATAGACCGACCGCACAACCCAAATCTATGGAACTGTTTTGGGAAGGAAAACGTGCTTGCGGTCAGTCATAAACGACTTCCGTCTAACTTTTGATCTTCTGAAGGGATTTGTATGATTTTTGAGCGTGTTTATGTTTAAAGTATGCTGATTCTGAATATGTGTTTTTTAGTAAGTTATAGTACATGTAGAAAAACTGTATTTTTCCTGCCTGCGATAATTATGTTAACCTATTGTGTGCCAGAATTAGATCACAGGCAGAGGGGAGGATTTTGTGTGTAATTGCTGGAAGTGTTTTCTGTAATGTACGTGTGTTATTGGTTGTTCTGTAAAACTCTTCCATAAAAGAAGGCCCTTTGGTGCCAAATAAATGAGAATGACTTGACCCTCTAACTTGCAGCCTTGACTATAATCACTACAGGGGTTGCTATGCTTTTCATACTCCCTTAGCCACTGAGCTATTGTAAGAGCTCTTGTTCCTGATCCTGCTTCGCCCTACAGAAGGAAGAGGTTCACCTACAGGAACCTGGTCGTAGGTCCAGGGTGGATAGCAGACGGCGAGATCCTAGCCCAGCAGTGGCGGTTCGTGGAGTCTGCAGTGTTTATGGTGTCTACCGTGCTGATGGTCCTTTGGTGAGCGCTAGGAGCATCCTTTCTAAGGTGGAGGCAACCGTAACAAGCCCCATTCAGAAACCATCCGCCACCCACTTTATCCACTCCTACCACTACACCGGAGGCATCTCTCTACTGCCCTCCCCTTACTCCCACTTCAACCCTGTAAACAACCCCATAAACAGGTACACCAAGCCTAAAAAGGCAGGTCCTACGTGGACTACACCAACACTCGTGCATCTCTAGTTCTCAATACGTTCTTTCCACTCATTGTTTCTGTCCTTTATCTGGTCTCTTTTGGACTATCAGAGTCCCTCACTCGCCATTAACTGGCCAGTTGAATAAGCCCAGTTCCTTCCCCCACTTTAACCTCGTTTGAATCGGTCCCCTTTGGATACCTGCCCCCTCCATCTACCTCTCCCAGCCTCCTTAGCCCCCCCTTTTCCCTTTTTTTCTATTCTTTCTCTTCCTTTTCTTTTCAACCCCATTAATATCTCCAACACCTGCCTCCCCCCAGTCACAACCCACCCTAAAAATTCAGTGCAGCTCTATCAATGCCAAGGGCCTAAATGTCCCAGTGAAATGACACTGCCTAATGCGCGGGGCAAACCGTACAGGCATAGACATCATCATGATCCATGAGACCTACTCCACAAACCAGCGGAATTTCCCTCTGGTCAATAGACACTTTAAACAGCTCTACGTGACAAACTCCCCTGAACCAAAAGCAAAAGGCGAACGATTTTACGCTGAAACACTTGATGCTCCCGGACGTGCACATTTCCAAAGACATCGACGGATGCTTCCTAACCCTTATGGAATTTATAGGCACAAACAAGTTTGCCTTCTGCTCTCTATACGACCCAACCATGCCAGACACGGCATTTTGGGGCCTCTGTAAATCACATCTCTCCCTTCTTCCCTAAGCACACATCATCATTGGAGGAGACATGAATGCAGTCAACACTCCAGCAATAAACAGCAAATGTGGACCTGGATGCTCTCACACCGCCCACAGAAACGCTTAACTCCTAGCCAGTTTCATTAACACCGTATAACTTCTCGATGACTGGTGCGCCCAACATCATTCCACACGGGACTATACCTTCTATTCACAAACCTACCACTCCTACTCTAGAATCGACTGCTTCCTGATCTCAACTAACTTACAACCTTGGATAGTCCACATGGCTACAGGTAACATCTCTTGGTCAGATCATGCAGATATCACCATGATAATCCATATTCCAGACCTTGTCCACCCATGGTCCTGGTGCATAAATCTCCTGCTGATGCAGGACAAACCTACAACTCACATAATCGCTGCTCGCATAAAAGAATACTTTGAGACAAACTCCACCCCAGAAGTATCTCCAGCAACAAACTGGGACACCCACAAAGCAAAAATTCGGGGGACCCTCATCTCCCTAGCAATGTCCCTGAAAAAGCGACGCATACAAAACATAACCAATGAAGAGCTGAAGAGACTTGAAACATTACATAAGCAACAACCTTCAGAATACCTACTCTTACAAAACCTTGGAAGTCTTAAAGTTTCTGACAGCGACTGACATCTCCAAAACCCTGATATGATCCAAACAGAAATTTTACAAGAAATTTTACAGCAAAATCAACTCTCTCCTCGCACACTGCCTTAAGACTCAACAGGAAGCAAAAAAAGTTTCTAAAATCTGAATGCAGACACACAGACAAAATAGCCTAAACCTTCCTACAATACTACACAACCTTTCCCTGGACCTATCGGCATCATCCCCAGACATGACGAGACACATGGACTCCTTTCTGGCACCACTCAACCTACCATCACTACCAAACAAAGCCATTGCAGTGCTGGCATCCTCCATGGAAGTGGAAGTCCTAAAATCCCTCAAATTGCTGAAAAGCCCAGGGCCAGATGGCTTCATGGTACTATACTACAAAACCTTTCCAGACCTCCTAACTTGACATCCCTGTAACGTATACAACTCCCTTCTTCAAGGCACTCATCTTCCACAGGACATGTTAACAGCCAACATCTGCCTACTACCGAAATCTGGAAAGTACTCCCTAACCAGGAGTGAAACAAACTCACCGCTAGAATCGCCTTAGCATCTTGCAGAGCAATTGGAGAACTATGGGCAGATAAACACATACCCCTTATGTCAACTGTGAAATGTAAAATCGCAGAGACACACAACCACGATAAACTAACAGCCCAAATTCTCAACTCAAATCAACTTGGGACCTATGGGTCGCCAGCGATATATAAAATCCTGACTATACGTAGAAATACACTACACTCCCTCAAAATTCCTGCAGATGGAATCCTAACCCATGCATTTCTCTGATCCAACCCATTCACCCTCTTATTCATTTTACCCCCCACCATTCTTCCTTTTTTTTCTCTCTTTTTCCTGGTGGTTTTCCAGTTCTCTTCAAACGTTACATGGTTTACTACTTCTTTTAACCTTAACCACTCTTAACTGCCTCCTACTACTATTTCACCCTACGCCAACATTTGCACTCAGGTGGCAACCCACATTAGGAGGGCACATCAACTACTCCACTCCAGGAGGGCTCACATTTCACAAAACTGAGCTGCCTCATCACCCAACAAGTACTGCTCGACTAGAATGGTAACCACAAGATAGCACACAGCCAGACAACCAGGTCTAGCTCTCCCTTATTTTCTCGGACCCCCACAATACCATCATCATGGTTCACCCTCAAACCTACAAATGTTTTATTTGAGCACTGTATCCATGTTTGACTAAAAATGCTGGAATGCTGACTTGATGTAATGTGTGGCTTTTACTAAAAACAAACTTTTTTAAAAAATAAAGATTTACAAAAAAAAAAAAAGAGTACAGGAGATAAGAAATTCTAAATTAAACAGAACATGAGGTGACCAACTCCTGAACTTCCATTTATTTATCTTTCTTGTTCTTTTTTGTAGATCTTCTTTCCTTCTTTAAAGCAATCAGATGTGATGGTTAGGACAAAAGGGAGTTAAATCTTATTTATGAAAACATAATTCAAGGTACTGAGTCTTGTTGTTCATATGGGCTGAGATACGTGTCGATGTAATTGATGAGCTCCAAGATACAGAAACTGGTTAAGAACTTATTATACTCATTGAAAACACTACAGCATAATGTATAGTATACAGCTTAATGTAGTGTCTATAGCCTGTCCCTGGAGGCTCAGCACTGTAAATGATGCCTTTCAGACCACCCCCCTCCCCCATGTCAAAAATACTTTCTTATCATATCAATGCACACAGGCTGAGTCTCAACAGCACTGAATGAGTGGCTTCTAATTTTCACCATGGCTGCCGGTGTTCTATCAAATTTCCCTACCCCATTAGAAAACCCTACCTCGTCACTTCCGGTGACGAAGCCGCACCGGAAGTGACGTTGGGACGGGGGTGTGCGCCACCGCGCAGGCGCACACCACCCAGGTAGGGACTTTGCACAGCGAGTAGTTGACAAAAGGCATAGTGCGCACGCGCGCCAAACTACTCCCGTCGGAGGTACAGCGCGCGTGCGCACGTGGGGACAGGGAGCGCTTCACACACACCGCGCATGCGCAGTATAGGGGTAGGGAAATCTGATGGCCATTAAGCCCTGTGAAATCTCCCTACCCCTATACTGCGCATGCGCGGACTCTGATCGTCTGAGTAAAGCATTTTCTGGGAACAGGTCAGTCTCTCCCTGCTCCCAACACTCTCAGCCATCCGAGGGGAGGGGGTTCTATATTAGGGGGGTTTCAGTGCATTATATTGGGGAGTTAAAGTTAATATGCATTTTAGACTTTATATTTAGAGGATGTAAAAAATATAAAAGTCAAATTTGGAAACTGGTTAAGAAAAGTCACACTGTGGTATCCAAGAAGGAGAAAGTTCAATCACATGTAAAGAAAGGCTGTATGGCATTAGGAAGGTAGTATCTTAATAATATAATGGTCTCTTTCCCTGGACGGTCCACGAGTCTTAATCACTGGGGTCTGCGCTATATAGGGGGGTCTGCGCTCTATAGGGGGGGTCTGCACTATATATGGGGGTCTGCGCTGTATGGGGGGGTCTGCACTATATATGGGGGTTTGCGCTGTATGGGGGTGTGCGCTGTATGGGGGTCTGCGCTATATATGGGGGTCTGCGCTATATATGGGTGTGCGCTGTATGGGGGCAGTGTATTATATTTGGGGGCTGTGCGTTAGATGGTGAGCTGTACAGTACGTGTGGCCTGTGTGTTAGATGTGTACAACCCTAGTTTCACAGAAAAATATTTATTTCCTAGATATCATATGCCATGGCATGCTTTTTGCTATGAAACCGCAGCCATCCAGTCACTCGCCAGAGAAGGATGAGAAACTGCACCCCAGCGAGAGGGACAGCCCCACATCTGCAACCAAATCCGTCGGTCACCAAATTCAGTAATCTCCGTCTCTTTGTGCATTGTGTATGTATGGTACTCCCAATTCTTATATTTAATCCGGTGTGTCTCCCACAATCTTTGTGTCTGTCTGCTGTATGTATGTGGCACGCAAGTCTGCACGCACTGTGTCTGTTATGCCAGTTACTCTAACCAGTTTATTTCTTTTTGTGTGTGTCACAGCTCTGACAAGCATGTTCTCCTATGGGATACGAAGTACATGAAGAGGAATGAAGAAGCCCATGTTTGATGCTCGTCTCCAGGGTGGAGTATTGAATTTATAACTAATGAAGTGGCATCTGACACATGACAAGCTGCTCCTGTTTGCACAGCAACATTGTGTACTGTGACCACTGTCTAGTTCAGAGGTAGGTAACCTTGGGCAGTCCAGATGCTGTGAATTACATCTCCCATAATGCTGGCAAACCATTATGGGAGGTGTAGTCCAAAACATCTGGAATACCGAATGCGTATGAATGCAAAGTATGGTGTGTATGAATGGTCAGTAACAAGGGTTGAAGCCTTGACGTGGCGTTACTGCTCACATGTGTATTCATGTGCCAATTCAACCAATGTGAGTCACTGTAATACTTATAAGGTAACCAAAAGTACTATGATTGTGGAGAATGAAACGCCTGTATCATCTACACACTGTTTACACCGTGACTGTATCTCCTACACACTGCTCACACTGTGACCGTATCTCCTAAACACTGCTCACACTGTGACCGTATCTCCTAAACACTGCTGACACTGTGACCGTATCTCCTAAACACTGCTGACACTGTGACCGTATCTCCTATACACTGCTCACACTGTGACCGTATCTCCTATACACTGCTCACACTGTGACCGTATTTCCTAAACACTGCTTACACTGTGACCGTATTTCCTAAACACTGCTCACACTGTGACCGTATCTCCTATACACTGCTCACACTGTGACTGTATCTCCTATACACTGCTCACACTGTGACCGTATCTCCTAAACACTGCTTACACTGTGACCTTATCTCCTAAACACTGCTTACACTGTGACCTTATCTCCTATACACTGCTTACACTGTGACCGTATCTCCTATACACTGCTTACACTGTGACCGTATCTCCTAAACACTGCTCACACTGTGACCTTATCTCCTAAACACTGCTTACACTGTGACCGTATCTCCTATACACTGCTTACACTGTGACCGTATCTCCTCTACACTGTTTACACTGTGACCATATCTCCTATACACTGCTTACACTGTGACCGTATCCCATAAACACTGCTTACACTGTGA